ATATAAAAATATATACCTGTCATTTCGGTTGTTCAACTCTTTTCAATAGGAAATTTAAGTGCATATATCATATTTAAATGTAAGACCTTAAAACACACTGACGTTTTGGACAAGGGCTAAAGGTACAGTAATTTTCCAAAAAATTTCGAACGAAGAAAAAAATATGCAGAGTTCTAACTTTAATCATTGACAATTTGTATATTGCGAATAACTTTTTCACTTATATATATAGATATATGTATATACATAGATACACGAGTTATCCAGCTACATTATGTAATGATTGTGATTTCTAAAGTCTAAATCATGTAGACACATTCTGAATATGATTATTTTTAAAGTAATTTACAAAATTATACACCTTGCAAAGTTGTTAAATAGATTTCACGTTTATTAACAAAATAAATTTTGGGTTCACGATTTTAGAAACTGTATTGATCAAATATATTTACGTATTTTTATGAATGATGATTTTCACAACAAAATCCTTTAAATCTTCGCCCCAGTCTACAGAAATTAGAATGCAAATGGAAAAAACATTTCTCTATATTATATTTGAGCACTTATTTTTTACGTAATAAGTTCCCTATCTTTGGCTGTATGTGCGTAAACGTGTAAAAAGATAATCAAACATTTTCTGTTTTTGTACTTGGCAAAATTTTTTTTTCTATTTATGTATACAATTTGTTTGAATCTTTAAAATTATGATACTGGGAATATCTTCTGGTAATTATTTAACTAGTGTGCAGGAAAAAAATACCATTTAATAAAATATTGATATTGGTTGTAGGAATGTATCTATATAGGAAGGTAAAACATGTTTTTATTATGATTAAATTCTATGTCTGAAATATTTTCATCATCTCTGACTTTCGTAARTGCAGACGACATGAAAATACTAGTTTGACATTCAACTTTTTTCGATTGCTCATTCTAGTACCCACTTTCTTATTTCCAATATTCCAATTGTTCCACACAATGATACCATTTTGGTACATATGAATAGTGTAGAAATTTAAAAAGAAAACTATTTGAAACGAAATTGTAAGGTCACATAAATAAATAATACTCAAAATAAAAAATAAAATAAAAACTAACATAGAAAACAATATTGACTTTGGCAGCATAAGTATTTTTATTTCATTGGAAAGTTGAAGCACTGGAAAATAAGCGTTTTCGTTTACTATTACTAAGTCCGCCATTTTAGTTAAGGTTCTTTGACAGATTTAGTTCGTAAAATAGACTACACAAAGGAGAAAACATATGTACTCAAGTTACCGTATGTAACGAATTTTAAGAAAGGCTGAGACCAGATAACGCGCAAAACAGACGAAAGCAAAAAAGGAGGTGCTGCCATTTGTATTTTAGATACCTATATATTTCAAATTAATCATATGGTAATTGTTATTAGCATTAATATATACAAGACTATATATAACGTACCAAGTTCTACAAAATATATTCTCACCTGTTTAAGTTGCATATCATTACACGAGAATTACACCAGGCAGAGGTTTAACAATTAAGATTGAGTAATAATTGCAATATAACATCTATTCTGTTAAGGGTAAAGTGTACAACTTGTTTCTTTATGTATTCGAAATCCTTTCACTTATGAGTATATCACTTCAATTATTATTTGTAGTTGCTTTGAACAAAACTCTACAACTAATAAGAAAATGTTCGCTTTTCTTAACGCATGGCTGTTACTCACACATTTTTTTCTAGGCATTTGGCTGTCTATTTAAACAGTAAATTATTGTATTTTTCAACATTGTGTCTCCAATTAACCGTTATATTTATAAACAAGATGTGTCATTTTCTTTGTTTTTGAACAAAATGAAACATTAACCCATATAGAAAAACGGTGCAGGGTATTGCATTACAGAGGCATGTACATTTCATAAAAAAGTTTTTATAGCTCATTTGTAAATATGTAATTTTCTATATCGAAGTATATACAAAAATGTATTACTATTTACACCAAGCGTAAAGCCTACGGAAATAATATTCTTTTATATGACTGCAACTTTTTTATAATAGATTTTTCGACTTCCTCCACGTTGGTTTAAGTCTTCCAGCAGATATCAAGGAATTGCCACACCACCATTTATCAATGGCGCCGCCTTTTCATGGGGTGTCGCTATGAAGCGTTCTCGTTTATAATTTTTGCCAGAATTTTATTGCTTATAAATCTTGTCACTTTTTTATTTATTCATAAACCTACACTTGATCATTAAATATTTGATATTTAGTGGGATAATTGTTTATATAAAGACAATACACTGTCGTTTTTCTGTGAGCTATGCCCGATATTTGACATGCTCATAAAGTTGTGTCAACATTTTAGACACAAATGCAGGCAGAACCGACGTATTAACGAATGATTGGACGAGCATCACTTTGTTAACTACTAGTCGTTTATACCATAATCATATATTCTCACAATATTCATATCCTCAATACACTAACACTTTTTTAAATTTAACCATCAATGTTTAATTAATTAATGCATTCGCACACGGTTTTATAAAAATATTCGTTCACTAAAATTTTCGACGACAATAACAACCGCCATTTGCATTCACCTTCCAAACGATTTTGGAAAATGAAAATTGTGTTGGAAGCATTTTTCCAATGCATGTTTCCTTACCTTGGAAAAACATGGTGATGCCAACTAAATCTAAAATTRAATTTCTGTAAGCAGTCTCTAACAACTGTTTGGAACATTTTGAGGTAAAGTCTTAATAGAAATTACCTCAAATTTGTGACCTGATAGTTAGCAGGTCATAAAACCAAAAATAACTCTTGTTTGCAATTTTGAATATTACTGAATAGAGACCACCATGGATGTTAATTGATTGTCGTTTTTTATATTTTTGAAGCAACTCAAAAATTAAAAATTTAATAACTATGAATTTCACATAAATTTCGTAAATATTCTGAAACAAAGTTAACAAATATTTTTTTTCATTGGTAATTATACTTTTTGACTAGTCATAAAARTCATATCCAATTTAAAATCTCAATTTTAGAAACTTGTGACTGTATCGCAGACCAGAATCAATCGGTTAAGTAAATATTGTAACAACAGCCTTAAAGTTGGTCTTCGATAATATAATTATTGTTTTGATATCTATTGTCCAGATTTTGTAAGTAGAAGAAGCCATAATAATTACAAATTATATTTTTTAAAACTCGTAATAATTACCCCGTATACATAAAGGTTTTCTTCACCGATAATGATTTATTCAATATTTAAGTTTTGTTCAATTCTTTTTGTTCACACGATAACAAGAAAGACTAATAATTTTAGATTTATATTTTATGTCAACTAAGACTTAATTAATTCGATTGTGCACATTTATTTAACATTATATAGTCCATAGTTTTATATAAATATTAGACAACCAGAACATCGATTTCTATGGAGGCTCCCTCCCCTTCATTCATCAATTATATAAAGGACAAACTCCTTCCATACCATTAATTTGATCACTGTAATACAATTGCCCTTATTAATATATTTTTTCTCTTTTTTCTTTTACTTATAACAGTAGCTGTTGTATATTGCCGATTGGCGTTAATTTGTTAAATAAATTAATAATTTAAACTTATTGTTCAATTCTATTCATTTAACAATTGAATTAATCGATAAATTCCGGTGTTCGATTGGCCAAGGAGCGGGCGAGGGCCACCAACGCAAAAAGTGGACGCCCAGGTGTTGGTCTGACCAAGGTTATTTACCGAAATTACCGAAAACGCTTGTGAATTTTTTTGCTTTTGTTTTTGAAACGCGGTCCAAGGCTGCCAATACACTACTGAATTCTATGCGTACAACTAATAAAGTGTTATTTATTTCCTGCGAGGCGGCACTATTTGTTTTCTTTATTTATTTTGATTATTTTGTAAAATATGTGCATGAACTGCACGCCATACATGTGCGTTCGATCCGTATGAAATCGTTTCGCCATACACGACGTACAAATCCTTTTTACGTTCGTTCTTCAAATAGTGAATATATGCGATCGTAAAAATTCAAACATTTTCGCAAACTTGGATTAATATGCGCACAAGCCCATACMCGAGTAAATGGCAATCACACACATATCGGTCGAACGCACATGTGTGTCGTGTATGGCCACTCTAAGGTTACGATTACTAAGAATTGCAACTCTTCACTCTTTAATAAGTTACTATTCACAAAACAGTCTCTAGTCTTTAGATACAAAATATTGTCCCAAATTTGTCAACTTTTGGTTATCAGGTCAAAAACTAAAAAGCACTCCTGTTTGCCACTTTGAATATACTGACAAATCACTTATAGCGATAATCAATTGCCGTTTTTAATATTTTTTTAGCAACTCAAACACGAAAAAGTTAAGATGAAATAAATTTCATAAACATTTTTAAACAAAGTTAACATTCATTTTCATTTTTAATTACAATCATGCTTTTTGACTATCTTATAGACGATGTTTTTTTTTTTTTTTAGTTTTTAGACAAATTTATTTTCATTCAAGTTTTGGTACATTGTTTTCAATTTTTGTGACTGTTACGTATAGAATTGCAAAATCATCTCAAGTCACAATTTTCTTAAATTTAAAATCTCAATTTAAGAGACATACGACTGTATCAAGAATGATAGAATCAAGAGTGCGTAATGACGAGTTAAAATTTTGTTCGTTCTGCGCATCTACATCACGGTTGACCAACGTACAATYCGCTGATTTTCAGTTGCTTGTTTTTCTTTGAAATAAGAATCAATTTTGTATTGCAGGCATATAAGTGAATATCAATATAAGCGAATATTAATAAAAAAAAAATCTATATGTTATTATTTTATAGTGCACATTTTGTACATATTTAATTCATTGTATTTTCGTTGCATTATATAATTTTGTCTCCTTGCTGTGTTTGTTTCAACTATATACATACATTTATGCAAATAAAAATATTGAATATTTTGTGACCAACTATCAATTTATTGTCTTATGTAATTTTCTTTTTTTGCTGTACATATTTTCAATTAAGTTTTTATTTAAAGAACGAATCCTAAAATACATTCTAGCTMTGAAAAACAATTCTCTTACTTTGATGCTACAATTAACAAAATTACTTAAATCTAAGTGCATCTGGACGTAGTTTGTACATATGTATATGTAAATCAGTACCTTTTAAGTCGTCAAATACTGCTTGCAAAGCTCTCATATGCTCCATCAACATATCTGTTGGTTTTGAGAGTCCTCCTTTAGATAGGTGATCCACTCAAGTATAAGGCGAACAATTTGTCTTTGCCAAGTTTGTGGCAGATGTACCCTGCCAAATTTTCAAGCCCGTCGTTGTTGAGAATCTTCAAGTCATAATTTTTTCAATTGGGACAGCGGATTTTAGATCAACTGACACACGTTGGAAAATATTACCTGCAAAATATAATAAACATACTTACATGCGTATAAATAAATGAAATAAATTGTTAGTTAAGATTATTATTAAAATTAGGATAAGAAACAGTGGTTAGTATTCAAAAACTTAGTTTGTATGTAAGTACATATTTGCATTTGTTAACATGAAAACATTTTTATATAAGAATGTTTTCTGTACTTTTAGGTTTATAATACTATGTACGTTTAATATTTTGATAATTACCAGTTAGAGATAAGTAATTCCCTTCCATATCTGGGGTATTGTCGACTTCAACATTTCCTCCATCTGTCTTGATGGAACTCCTTTCTGTCAGGGTGATCGTGAAGACCTCTAACCTGATTACGTCAAACATATTTTCTAAAACGTCTTGGTTTAAACGAGACTTCATCCTTTTCTGCCCTTCATTAGCCTCTGCAGGAGTTAATCTGGTTAACGTGAGAAAAGCGCTAGGTAGCAACTTCGTTAGACTCCGCGAACTTAAAGAGAAAGAGTGTTTGGTTATAAAAGAAAAATTATTGTAATCAAAATGCTATAATTACCATTTCAAACTGCAAATTTCTTTCGAAGGCTTCTTGCTCAAAGTGCACAAAAAGGAATCCACAATTTTAGTATTGTTTTTAGCTAAGGGAAATGGAAAAGTCTCCATTTCGTCGAACTATTTTTAACATTGTTATTATTGCATCCGAACACGGCACAACTCATTTTAAAAAATATAAAATTTTACAATTAATACTACACCCGAAAATACAATTCGAATTCACATTCAAAGGCGCGGGCGAATAATAAGTCAACCGTGGCGTCATCAAGAACAGCTGACTGAAAGCAAACATGTGTATTGCGTAATCTCTTCTCCATCAATCTTGCGACTGTATCACACTAAGTCCGGTAATACGGGGACTCGACTGGCAATCATTTATTGTATATTAACATTATTGCTATACGTATTGCCAGCGAAGACTCCATATTGTTTATGGAATACAATATATGGCATATTAAGTTGTATGCTATATTTTGAAAGCAGAGAACATACATTTATAGAGAAGGCAGTGTAAAAGTATTATAAAAACTCGCGGCAACTCACCTTTTTCGACTTGAGAAGCGGGAACGAATTTAGCGAGGACTGGCGAAACGTATATGCGCACGGATCGAATCAAAAAGAGGGTTGGGCGCCGTCCGCCAGTCCCTTTTGTTGATTGTGTTTGGTGTCCTCGGGTATGGTGTAGATGATGCCGGTGGGTTGAGGTGTGGATGATGAATTTTATGTAGATGTGTTGAGTATGAGGTGTGGATGATTTGGATGGTGTAGTCGGGTTGGGTATGGTGTGTATGTGTGGGGTGTAGGTGTATTATATTAAGAGGGGGGTCAGGTGCTCATTTAGCCATCCCGGCCCCCCTRACGACTGTTTAGCCTAAAAGCGCTGCAGCTGTTGCAGTGTTGCCACAACGCTGCTGAGACCCGTGGATCGACGATAGGGTGGTCCAGTCTGTCGACGCCGCAACGAGGTTACACTCCGCTGGTGAATGACGCTATCGGCGGGTGGAAGTCGGGAGACGTAGCCGCGATGATTGGGTGGCCGGTGCGCTTCGCGTGACGAGCTGCGATGTAGCAGCGTATGATGCGGCCGGTGACACATTTGGCACAACTCCCGTGATCCACACTCTAAAGTAACATGAGTGTGCGGCAGGCAATTGAGGCAATGCCCGTGGGCCTGAGCAACTTGCTGCCGTTGCAAGGGCCGCATACCCCTAAAAATACCGCAATGGTGGAGACGATGAGGGCGTCGACAGATGGGCACCTTATCCGACGGGTCTCCGAAGCCCTCGATGGTGGTCGGGTGCCACCACGAGGTGATGGTGTAAGTACCGCGGCAGGCGCGGTTGCCGGTACAGGTGCCGGCGCTTTTGTAGGTGATACGRCGTGTTAATTCGAACGGATGTTACGGGCGTGTTTTTCGTTTTAGTGTTCAATTTAGTGATTTTTTATATCGCGACTTTATCGATTTCGTTTTTGCGGTTTTCGGATTCGCGGTCGTCGGTGGTTAGTAAAAAGCATAGCTTCACGAGCGGTCTGGTTAAGGTTCCGTTTTGCGTACGGAGATCCACGACTCGTATGTGACTGTCGGAGCCRTAGTGTAGCTTTTCTATGCGGCCAAGCCGCCACTCGGTAGGGGGTAGACAATCATCATGAATGAGGACACAGTCTCCAAGTTTAGGCGCTTGTTCAGGAGTCTTCCAGCGATATC